TAAGCTGGCCAGAAGGCAGCCCAGTGCTCGGGGCGTTGGCTAAGGCGGGGGAGTTGTGGCCTGTTACTGTGCCTTGGAAAAGGGGGGTTTCAAGGATAGATCAGAGTAGTGGGGAGTCTGGGATGCCATCCTGTAAAAACCTGAGTTAGTACGTGTTTTTAAGGCAGCAGTGTCTGCGATTACTACAGCGATTAGCCTGGTATCTGTTGCTGTGCAATTCTGATTCGCTCTCTTTAACATATAAATGTTTGGAAATGAAGGCATAGTGTCACTGGTTTACTTTTTCTTGGGGATCTGAATTTTGTAAATACTCTGTGTCCAACAGCCATGTTTTTGGGGGAAAAATAGTTTCTTTTGTTACAACTTTTATATATACAGGGATGGGGGCTTTTCCCCTTATGGTATAATGTTTCTTGTTTCTGCCATGTTGATGGTGACTCTTCAGGGTGACAGTTTCAACTATTGATCACTTGGCGTTTTGAATATTCAAAGTAATACAACTTTCTTTAGTCTAAATACCTGCAGGAAATCGTTCAATATGCAGGTAGAGGAACTCTGGAAATAGGCTTCCCTTAAGTAACCTCCCTTGTCAGAAGATACTATGATTTATCTACAGAAACTTGAAGTGCACTTCAAAGAACAAAACGAAATCCCTGATACGTGTTCTCTTGATAACCCACTACGCTGATTTTCATATTTCCATCAGACTGGATATTACAACAGGAGAAGCAAGTCAGCAGAGGTCAGGGAAGAAGCTGCTCCTTGTGCTCACATGGATCACCAGCTTCAAAGTCCAGTTTTAGGTGTGACTTTGAAGCAGTAGTAGGCACTGGTCATAAAAATCTGTTTCTGTCTTCAGCATGAGTTACTGAGATCACGTACCCAAATGCTGAAACGATTGGCTACCATAATTATGAAAAATGCAATGAAGTTCCCGTCCAAAAACCCTGATTAACTGGAAGCCGGTTGTTTTTGCTGGCACACTGGCAGCTGTTAATCGCATTTCATGAGGCTGTTGGAGTGGGAACTCTGGACGTGATCTTCTGAACAGGAGGAGGTCACGCAGGTGTTTATCTGCAGCAGACACCAAGGAGATACTGCCATGGCACGAGTTTCCCAGGTTGTCTACAATGGGACCTAGAGTAGCTATCGCATGGTATAGACAGTGTTAAAATGAATGCCCACCAGTGGGCGGAAGCAGCTGGAACATCTGAGGATGCTCAGGGATATATGTCTAATGAAGGTATATATTGGCATTTGAGATGCATGCTCAGGCTCCGTGGTATTGCTGGGTCTTAGGCTGTTGCTGGGTGTTCAGTGCCTGTAGCCATCCTTCTATATGCAGCTGCCTCAACTGTTGTCTTTCACCATTGGGTCCAGAGTTTCCAGGGGTCTAGAGTAAAGTACCCAACAGTAAAGCTCTGTGACTGAGGTGATTGCCTGTAAGATTTGCATGGAAGTTAGTTTGTTGGTTTTAACTTTTACAGTCCTTTTTTTTGATACCCAATTACCTGAAAGGCTGCTTCTATCCACATATCGTAGTGCTACACTGAAGAGCAATAGAGACGCCCAAAACTAGAGTCCTCTTGTTTTTGTAGAAAGGAGGCTGTTGAACAGTTTTTGTGAAAGATTGGTCTCTGGAACCTTTTTAATCTGAAAGACATCTTGGAATATGTTTCATGTTTAGGATATATCAGAGTTTCTCTATAAAATGCTGTTTTGGATACCATCATGTGGTTTTGATAAGACTCTGATGTGAGGCAGAAAAGTTGGAGTTAGTGACGACAGAAAGTTGGTCAGTGGGTCAATCCTTAAAAAGCCTTGTACATCAGCTCTCAGATTTTTCCTAACTGAATAATACATGCTTTCACGTTGCATGACGTGACTCAACATAAAACGATTGGTGAAAAAGCAAATATAAAAAAATCCAGATTGCTCTTGATTTTTGGCAAGATGTACCGTATTTTCCTCAGTGAATCTTAAGAGGCTGTATCATTCTGTCTACTCACAGACTTGCTTTCAGACAGGAAGTGGCTAATGCACAATAATAGAAAGTGTGGGGTTTGAAGAGCATTAGACCGCATTTTTCAGTGCAGTAACTTCTTATGTCTTTGAATTGAGTTGAATTTCACCATCAAAGCTAACAAGCAGTGTCCCAAACCCGTGCTCCATGTGGGACAGAGAGTAAGATCAGGAAGGTAACATCCTTGCATGAAGCCAATTGATTGCTTCTGAAAACGCCACCACCTACCACAGAAAATAAAATTACAGGACACGGAGGGGTTCCAGCCTCTTAGACTCAGCTGGAGGAAGATAATGGAGAAATGTGGTAGAAGGGGGTAGACAAGCAGGACAGGGAGAGAGAAGGGAGAGGCGATAGGTTTGCAGTGAACAAGCCAACTAAAAATTTGCAATCAATATTCATTTAAGTTTGCTTCATTTTTAGGCAAAAGCAACAACTATCAAAGAAGCTCTAGCCAAATGGGTAAGTACCAGAACAATATCTAGCTGCTTTGCAGTACTCTGTGGCATGGGGTTTGACTGTATTCAGCTAAATTTATTTTTCAAACTTCTTGTAAGAAATATGTTTGCTTGAAACATCTGCTATAAGAAATTTCATGAAGTAAAAATTTTGCTATTATTAAAGTATAATACATTCTGTTGGACTTTCTGTGTGTTCTTGTTAAGTTGATACGTCTGGTAAAGATGAGTCTGTTTTGCTCTCCTGCCTTATTCTGCTGAATATGCATTGATAGAAGGTCTGAGGCTACAAAGAGATTTAAAGTTGGGGACGTCTTACATTTTAATTATTATTGTCCCTCATATTGGGCAAAGCTTAACTCAGAATGAGTTTCTTGCTTGTTTTTCTTCTTAAAGTACTGTATTAATACAGACAGTCATTTGAGGTGGCGACTGACCTGGTCTTGGAGTGTTCTAGAAAGCTGTTTGTTGGCAAGAATGTGGAGGTAATTTCAAATAATGATATAGGATGCTCTGGGTCCGGTTCACAGTCCGGTAAAACCAGTGAGAATCTTTCCCCAGTCTCAGTGAATTTTAGATTAGGGCACAGATGTGCTGTTCGGTATACATGCACGCTCAAGCTAATTCTGGCCATCTGCTAGAGCAGGAGTTTATAAATGTTTTGGTCTCTAGAAGATCTGGATGTGAGGCAGTGTGAGCAGGTACAATTGAAAGCCAGATGATCTGTACCGTCAGCTCAAGGTACTAGTCTGTAATTGAAGACCACTTTCTTTTTGAATTTATCATTGTTTAGTACCTTTAGTATTTCAGGTTTTTTTTTCAGTTATGTTGGTATATCCCACAAATTTCACTCCTGCTCTCCTAATAAGAACTAGAATGCAACAATTTGTGGACATTAGCATTACTGGCGGTGTCAACTGACTATTAAAAAACTTTGGTTTTCCTCCCTCACTCTTTCTGCCATCCAAAACCTCAACTCCATGTTTCCTGTTAAAGATTTGTTTTCCATTTGCTCCTCTGTCACGTGTCTCTTAGAGATAATAGACCTGTGTCAGTGAGTTTCCATAACTGTTAGGCATAAAGTGCTGAATTTGCTTTTCTGTTCATGTTGTTGGGGATGGGTCTAAATCTTCCTTTTACTACTCCTAATCTGGGACCATGTGACTTGTCAAATTGGATCTGGTGTTGTGTTGCATTCTGGATGTTTTTCTTCCCTTTGATGTAAGGGTTTACCTATGCCCTACAGTCAGGGTGACTGTTGTGGTTTAGCCCCAGCCAGCAACTAAGCACCACCCAGCCGCTCGCTCACTCCCCCTACCCCGATGGGATGGGGGAGAGAATCGGAGGAGTAAGAGTGAGAAACACTCCTGGGTTGAGATAAGAACAGCTTAATAATTGAAATAAAGTAAAATAGTAATGATAATGATAACAATATAATAATGATAGTAATAACAATATACAAAGCAAGTGATGCACAATGCAATTGCTCACCACCCGCCGACCGATACCCAGACAGTTCCCGAGCAGCGATCGCCGCTCCCCAGCCAACCCCCCCAGTTTATATACTGAGCATGATGTTATATGGTATGGAATAGCCCTTTGGTCAGTTTGGATCAACTATTCTGGCTGTGCCCCCTCCCAGTTTCTTGTGCACCTGGCAGAGCATGGGAAGCTGAAAAGTCCTTGACTAGCATAAGCAGTACTCAGCAACAACTAAAAACATCAGCGTGTTATCAGCATTCTTCTCATCCTAAATCCAAAACACAGCACTATGCCTGCTACTAGGAAGAAAATTAACTCTATCCCAGCCGAAACCAGGACAGTGACATTAGTTAAATCAAAGCAACTTTAACTTAGCAAACACATAACTTGTTCTTAAAAAAGTGTCTGTTCTGCCTGTGGTTTCTCTGTGGCTTATTGTGGTAGTTCAGCTGACCTTTCTTCCAGAAGTGCATGGCAATCAGGTTTAATTGTTCTTGGAAGTGCTCACTGCTGGCCACAGTCTGTGTTGGAAGCTCTCTCCCTTTCATGTTTTTAAGAAAAAAATGTGTTTTATTTGTTGGTGTAGATAGATTATAAACTGAGTATAAATGCAAATAGATACAGTGTTGTTCTTAGAAAAGAAAATGGAAGCTTCATATTTATATAGTGACTTAGTTTGAACACATTCACCATGTTCTAGCAAAACATCTGACATGCTTATTTGCTAAATCAGTAATTATGAGTAAAAATATTATCACACTGAATTTAGACAGAAACTGGAATATAAGTAAATGCACAAGGCAACATGCTAATTTTTTATTAAATTAAGTCGCCTGAAGTATTTTGGGTACATAAGAGAGAAAATAAGTTATCAAAACCTGATCTTGTGCTGTGGGATTCTTAAAGATTTCTGGGATGCAATTCATTTCATTACAAAGTAGCCATATAAACCAGTCCAGGCCTCAGCTGTCTCACTTTTCAGGAGCTGCATAAAAATGGGGGGAAAACAAGAGTCCTTGTTTTGAAAGTAGATTTCTCCTTTGTTAATGGACCTCCAGTCCTCCCACTGAACAGTGTGTGAATTGACAAAATGCTCCCTTTGTGCTGTCAGGGAGGCGGTTGTCAAAACTGGTGGTACTACCAAACAGATACTTGTTCTAAGTGTTTAGTCAATAATTGCCATCACTTCAGAATTTTAAAAGATTTAATAGACTATATTTTTTTAATAAACACAAATGCTGAAGTTATGTCCATTTTTCTAAAGCTCTGAACTTAGTATTTAATCTAGAAAATTGTCAACCTAGACTGTAAATAGGAAATTTGTCGTCTTCTGTATTCTCTAAAGTGTGAAATCTTCCCCCACTTGTTTTTAATGGCTAATTAGAAATTTACTTTTTTTAGATTCTTAACTCTCCGAATCTGTTGCGGTTCTCCCCCCAAATGCACTCCCCTGTGTTCAGTTTGTGTTGTGAGTTAGGTGTGAGTTCTGAGTTCTCTGGGTGAAGTGGGAAGGAGATTTTTCTGTCGGAGTTTTTAAGAATCCGCTTCTGCTACAGACTGGCCCGAGTTGAGGCTCCTGTATGTCAGTCTCCATGGAAGTACCTTAATTCTGAATTTTAAACCTCCATCTATTCTCCATTTCTTTATGGCAGAGGACCCCTTAATTAAATTGCTCAAGTGTAACACAACTTTTTAAAAAAGCATATGTAATGTTCTTCTGATATCTTGAAAACAAGCTAGCCTTCCCCTCTGTGCTATGCCAGCAGGAGTCTTGATAAACAGTATTCAGAATGCTTTCTCTTTTCAGTAATATCCTTTTATATTGGAATTACTTCTATAGTAACTTTTTAGTATAGTAATTTTTAGTAATTGCATGTAGCAGTGAGCATCATCTTCGCCTTTTCTTTAGGAAGAAAAAAATGGCCAGAAGGCTTCAGAGGCAAAGGAGGTGAAACTGTACGGTCAGATTCCTCCTGTAGAGAAGATGGATGAATCTCTCTCCACACTTGTTAACTGCGAGTAAGTTCAGTTAGAAACAAATTGGAAAACAAACGTTCTCTTCGCTTTTTGTTAATTTTCAGTTTTTCTGCTGTCCACTGTACAAATAAGTATTTACTATGTTTAAGTGCGGCCTTCAAAGCAGCAGCTTTCTCTTTTTCTCAGCTAAGCTTCTCTTTCCACACACAGTTCCACTTTTTAATTCTAAGATCCCTGTCACTTAACTGAGAAGATGTTAGGGTAGATCCTGTATTGATATTTGTCCCCAGAAAATTGGTATATTGTTTATCGGTATATAATTACAGGTCCATGTTTGGAGTCTGTCAGCTAACTGGCACATTTATGGTCCATTCCAAAATGTATGCAAAAAAAAAAAAAAAGACCTAATCAGAACTTTCAGAAAGAAATTAGAGCCATTTCAGAAATAAATGTCCATGCATTTGTTAAGGTAAGGCATAAAAAAGATAATGCAATATGTCGTCTAAGTAACTTGTGGTACTTTCCCAGAAGCTAAATAAAGTTACAGAAGTCTTGATGGTTTGAGGAGATTTTGAGTCCGTTTACACATGGAGATAGTTTGCCATCTAATGAGAGAAGAATAGACAATTATTTCTAATGCAGTGGTGTTTGGACATGGAACTCTTATGATATAGTGAACCCTTGTATACTGTGCATTGATTATTCTTGCTTTTAAAGGAAACTATCGCTGTCTACAAACTGCATTGAAAGAATCGCCAACTTGAACAGCCTAAGTAAGTGACAAGCCAGTGATTGATTATATTTGTTTTCTACTTGCTTGGATAGGACATACACCATAATTTGTTATATGTGTCCAGCTTTATACCTATTCCTTTTTAATTCCTTCTTCTTAGAAAATTACAAGTGACCTTTAAAATTATCAGTCTTACTGGAGAATGCATGTTTAGCAATAATGGTGTATTAAAGCATGTATCCCTGTGCACTAGCCTTGGCAGTTGTCTCACTGTGCAAGTTTAAAAAAAAAAAAAATCCATTCAGAAAGCACCTTTGTAACTTCCAGTGGGCCTGAGTTGTGCTATTCAAAGCCATATCAGTTCTAGAGTGATTTAATGACCAATTTCCATGCTCATGATGGAGATAATCTGCAGTTCAACAGCTCTGTAATTGTGGTATTGGTTGGAGTGAGGTTGGAGGGTTGTAGATCTGGATGGAAAAATGCCATTCCATTTTACAGAGAATTTGGATATACTTGGTTTGATTTTGTTCTTACTTGAAGGGGGCATGCCATCTGTCTAGAAGTGGAACTGAACCTTGAAACTCATTGGCTTAGTGACTTTAGGACAGAAGTCTTAATGGTCTGTCCTCAAGACTTTGACTCTGTGGCATGAGGCTGGCAAAGAGCTGCAGGTTTTGGGCTGGAGCTTCCAGACTTTTCTGTCCCCATCAAATTGTCAGGCAGACAGATAAGGAACCTGGAATCCCATCCTCTCCAACAACATACCAATGGGGCTGTCAAGGAGCTTGATGAACTTACTTATTTTCATAATATGCTCAGACTTCAACAAATTTGCAAATACTAATCGGGGAAAAAAATATTGCAGTAGTCTTTCCAAATAAATGTAGTATTTCAATTTAAGTAACTCTGTCATGAGCAAAAAGTGATTACACGGTTATATATAAAAGTGAAACCAAATTTTTTTAGTGGGATAGATCATTAAAAGCCTTTAAAGCATATTAAGTATTTATATTAACAAAATGTAGAATCAAAACATCCAGTCTGTACCAAATATTTGATCCTAAAGCCAGGCAAACTAGAACTATGTGGTCTGTCTCTTAAAGGTACAGAATATGAGGAACTCACCATCTCTATTAGCTTCTGTGAAAGAGAGAGAAAGCAGTGCTTATAGCTATGAAAAACAAGCCAGTAGTTATTACATACTTGCTTTTGCTTATGGCAGAGAGGAAGCTGAGAAATCTTTTTAAGCATCAGCACTCTTTTCAGATGGAAAAGTTCAATATTAATGTATTGACCTTGTAGTTATGCTGAGTAGATAATTCTGTGTAAAGGATCACACCCCTGTATCCGTACAAGTGAGGAAGATGTTCTAGATGACAGCAACAAGTGTTAGTTTTATGTTTTAGAGAGTGTAAATGTTCCATGAGGGAGATCTTTCTTCCTTTAAAATATAGAATATCTTAGAACAAGAATAATAAAAAACCAGTAACAGCAGTTAGAAACAACTTAAGGCATGGTTTTGTAAGCAATCTGTCATTTTTGTATTTCTAAGTATCTTTCCATTTCTTACAAATTTCAAAAGCTAGTGCAAACTTATAAATGTAAGTCACTGAGAGAATAGCTGGCTACACCAAAAAGCCATCTCCCAGTGCTCTCCCCTGTGGATGGGGATCTTTAGGGATATTCTGGAAAATATTAGCTGTAGTAGGCTTTAGACTTACTGATTATGATTCTTCATTTTTTGAGCATGGTCATGTATTAAGCTGTTGTGTTTAAAAAAGAAAAGAATTCTCATTGTACCTCAACTTTTTAATGAAAACTAATCTTCCTGTTTTAGAATATTTGCCAGGTGTGGTTTCATCCCTGCATTTCTTGAGACGGAACATACAACTCTCTATTCTAGATCAGCCTTGAATCTCCATCCGTAGCAATGTCTAGCCACTACAAGTGCTGTTTGTGGAGTATCTGTTGCTACTTGGCTGGAACTTTCATTGGTCTTGCCATTAATTATTGTATTTTCAATACTGTATTTTCAATCATTATGCATACAAGAACAAAACAAGATCATTAAGTATTTCATCCTTAATGCAGTTAAGAAGTGTTAAAACATTCATGAAATGTGTAGATCCAAAGTTAACCCAGCTGCATGCTGCAATTCAGTTTGCTTATTTACACCTGTGAGAAAGCTTGTGTGAAAAATGAAAATGAGTCATACAAAAAGACTACTATTTTGTGATAGCTTTGAGTTACACTGGTATTACACTAAACCCCAGCAAGAACAGCTCACTTGGAAAGGAGTTTTGTCTGGGTGCTAGACCAAGTTGAAATGTCTCTCTTCAGACTTCCGTAAGGCAGCTTTGTATGCTGCCTCTATTATAGAAATAAAATCTGCCTTAAAATAAGATTGGAACAACTTCTGCCTGGAGAAGAAGGGCTATGAACTATGTAAGATCACAACTAACAAGTTAGCAGTTAGAGTTCAGGTGCAAGGTAAAATTAATAATTTTTATTCAGTATTTATCTGGACTGAATTTCAACTAGGCAACCTACACATGAGCAGCTTTGTATTCATGAGCATGTTTCTGAGCTGTTCACTGCATCCATTCCTGATATCTGTGTAGGTCAGGACGTTTTGTTTCTGTTACGTCATTCTTCCTTAAGACAGCTTGTTCAGAGTTCAGTTTGTTTGTAAGTAAAACATGGCATTTTACCTGACTTACAGCATCTTCTTATATTTAAAAAAAAACCCAACAACTTTATTAACAAGAAACTTTCTTTTATCTATTACAGAAAATTTGAGGATTCTGTCTTTGGGAAGAAATAACATAAAGAACTTGAATGGATTGGTATGCGCTTCTTAGTGTCAATTCTTCACTAACAAAAGGGAGTGATGTCTAGAATGTGGGATTATTCCCTTATGTTCATAAAAGTCTTTGCTGAATTTATGTTATTGCCTAACTATTTATTTTCTCCTTTCACTGTGATCTGTTCACATTGCTTCTGAATTTTCAGATAGTCTTTTTTTTTTCTCTTTTTTTTTTTTTTTTTTTTTTTTTTTTTTTTGTTTAAACACTCTTCAAGTTTGGAGATTCTTCAGGGCTAATTTACTATATAAAAGGATTTTAGAGGGGTTTTGTTGCCTTTGACAAAGATGAGCAGAACTTCTATTTGAAAACTGCTGTCTGCCTGTAAAGCCCTTTAAATTCCACTGTCTTTACATGAAAGTAATTCCTACAGACTTTTTGCATGAGGAATTTCCTACCTGAAGATGCTTAGGCTATGCTTCCTTACTACAAGTAATGGGAGTCCTATGAACACACACTTCATGAGAGTCTGTTCTTATATTAATTGGCACCTGCAGCAATATGGCTTTAGGGGAGAAGGTGGTAGCAGGACTAAGTCCACCAGATAAGCGAAAATTTGTTTAGGAAAAAAGTGGATCAGTTTTTTGGTACATTTGAATTAAAGGCAGAAGAACTTTTTTCCAATCAACTTTTTTTAATGAATATAGAAATTCTTTTCTTCCCTGAGGTGCTGTATGTTTCTCCCACAGAATGTTTCTCTTCAAAGCTATTCCCAGCTTCAGAGATGCCATATCTCTTAAGTGTGAAATGCAGAGTCAATGTGGTTTAAAAAAAAACTCTCTTTTGAGAGAATTATGAAAGCAACTCCTGGCTGACAGGTACAAACATACGTGCACCTGAAATGAATCATTCCCTTGTATTGTATAAAACCCCCTCTAAAGTACTTATTAAATTGCATTCACTTCACGTATACTTGCAGTGCACAAGCAGCCAAATTTGTCTCCTCTGCCCCTATGCCTTAAGAACAACTACTCCGGCCAGCTATTCCTTGTCTTATTCTAATATTGTGATTTCTGTCCTCCTAAATACATTTCAGATCTTTTGCTCTTAATTCCCCTGAGTATTTTTCATGCATAATTAGGGACCTGCTTAAAAGGAAATGAGGACCAACATACCTTAGTATTTTCTCACATGAGGTGACCTGTAGGGGGTGAAGAGAGAATATGAAGAATAAGTAAGGTATACTTCTGCTTCCCTGAGTAGTTGTGTCATTTTCCAGGAGGCAGTTGCAGATACTTTAGAGGAGCTGTGGATCTCATACAACTTCATTGAGAAACTGAGGGGTATCCGTGTAATGAAGAAGCTGAAGGTTCTTTATATGTCAAATAATTTGGTGAAAGACTGGGGTAAGGCACGCCTCTCTATTCTGTAACTTCTCTTGTAGTATGGTGAATGCATGAATTAAGTTACCAAGTAAAAAATAGTTCTGTATGTTACAGGGCTTTAAGTCTCACTGATAAGCCTGCAGACATGTGCAGGATCCCTAAATGTCCACTCATGCAAGAGAATAAAAATAGTTAGAACATTGAATTTAAGTTCTAAGCCCAATGGAGTTTGTTCTTTAAATCATCTTTCTTGGACTTCTTTTCAAATGCATTCCTGTTCTTTAACCTGATACCAGTTGAAGCCCAAGCAATCCCTATCCTGTTTTATCCCATGCTATTTATGTTTGAGCTGAGTTTGAAAGGAAGGTTTGGTGCAGATGTACTTTTCCATGTTCCACAATCTGGTTGGTGTTTTCACCTTTGTGGTTGCAGCAGAGTTTGTGAGACTGGCAGAGCTGCCATTACTAGAGGATCTGGTGTTTGTAGGCAATCCACTACAAGAGAAATACGCCGCTGATCAGAAGAACAATTGGATTGAAGAAGCAACCAAACGGGTACCCAACCTGAAAAAGCTGGATGGTGAGTCTGGGGCATGAGGCAATTGGTGTGAGTTAACAGCTTAATATAAAGACAACCACAGGGAAATGAATCATAACCTCAGAAATTCATCTGTGTGCCCATGTAATATTCCTCCGTTCTCTCTTGGGAGTTATTCAGAAGTAGGCTAACTTCTGGCAGCTGAATTTCGCAGCCCTGGCTGCAGGATCTTCTGAAACGGATGGATTTTGGAGTATTAAGTCCAAGTGGTCTTGCAGCCCATAGTTGGGCTTTACTCTTGAAGTTACCCAGTCAAATAGTTTTAGCACATAACTAATAGGGAACTGAAGCATACTGGTTTGAAGTTCTCTTGTGGAGCTCACATGCTGACTTGCGTAACTATATAGTTAAGTGTTTAGCATTAAATAAGTTAACAAGGCTTTCATCTGCCATGTTGAGTTACAGTTTTCCCAGCAAATTTGAAAACTGTAAGTATTCCCCAATAAAAGAAGGTTACATGGGGGAATGGGGATAGACAGGGATATGTTCTGTTTTGCCTCTGGTGCAGGGGCGAGTTTTCAAAACTTCATGCGAGTTTCCTAAATGCCTGAATATCCCCCTCTTGTCACTGCATTAAGCCTCAATTTATAAGCTCTTCTCTCCTTTTTGTCACGGATATGAAAATATATTAAAGCATGTCCTGATCAGTGACTAAAAGTGAGATAAATTTTAAATCTATTTTTAAAGATGCTAATTTCTGTCAGTGGAGATGTTAGCTGTTTGCTGTTATCTGCTGTTTACTAAAGCAATGAAGAGGAGAGCAGGACTGGTAACACTAATAAAGAGTCAGAGTAGCAGCAGAGAAGGTAGGAGTGTAGCGATGGTGACAAGAGGACAGCATCAGTACAGGGAGCAATGGATGGGAAATCAAAGCCAGATCAACTGAAGTAGTAAGAATTCTTGGGAAGTGGAAGCCTGGTGAGAGAAGTGTACTGCTATGAAGGATGGCCTGCAGTAGTCCATTTGCTGTTGTAGTAGAAAATGTTTTGAGAGTGAAACAAAAAATGGAATAGGGCAATATCTGTATGGGCAAAGAGTAACCTTGTTAGTATAAGGTTAGGCCCTTAGTTTCTTAAGCATTCCTGAACAGCTCTGAATTAGGCAGGTCCCTTTCCCAAGCAGTGCAGAAAGAGAGGATAATATTTAAGAATGGAAACCACAAAAACTAGAATGTTGAGCAAAAAAGAAGTCAGAAATGCTCTAACTGGCTGTAAGGTTCTTGCTGTTACACTGTCCCAGGATCCTGTTATGCTTGTGTACTATATGTGAGATGACTAATATAGGGACCTCAAAATTATTGAAATGGTTGAAGATCTTCTGGACAAAAATAAGCACTGAAGGTCTCTTTCGGCAGGTAGGTGTCTCCTTTCTGTTAGTTCCTGGGCCAGGAACCCTGCCTAGCAGTTAGGTGCCTAAAGCACAACAGAAACCAGGCTCTGGTGGTTTTATTTTCCATTTCCTACCTGTGAAAAAAGTAACACAGCACCCCAGTCTTACAGTAAGCAAAGGGCTCTCGACACAAAGCCTCACCATAGTTCAGGTCTCTCCCTCAAGCTGAGCAAAGCATCAGTACGACCCAGTTCCCATTACCCAGGTGGCAGCGCAGGTGAACGAACACATACCTTCACGCCCCTGCTGTTCTTGTACTAGTTGTTTAGGCATGTATTTGATCATGCTATTTCAGCATGCTGTGAGCTTACCTGTACCTATACCATTGGGTTTTGCTACTGTGGTGAGAATTTATAACTGGATAAATCTTTTGGGGGGCTATTAGCATTTCAGCTTATTTGAAATTCATGAACGCATCACTGTGAGATGGTGTGAACCCTGCAGACTGCCACAATCTGAGGTGCCCTTGCTCAACATGGCAGTTAAAAAGTGATTTTTTTTGTTTGTTTTATTAAAAGTACCCAAGGGCTGGGTATAGACTATGACTCTGCTGTGCAATGCAGCTTTATTCCATGACATCCCAAGTTATCCCTAAGAGATGTGACCATATTGCTTCTTGGATCCACATTAATATAATTGTATTTTGTAGTCTGGACATCCAAGTTAGGTATCATTGAGGAGGCATCCTATACTAACTTGGTCACATATGTTGTGGAAATGGCAGCACAAAGTAGGGGCCCAACAAGAGAAGGGTGGTGTGCTAGTTGGTTGTTAGTTGAACCGACAAGGTACATCTCCCAGTGACCAAGTTAGGCTGATCTTTGCAGGTCCTGCTTTAGTACCTTTTTTTATTCCCTGTTACCCAAGAAGTTGGAAAAGCATCCAACAGAAGATCTCATCAGTTGAAGGCTTTTCTAGTTAAGAGCAGTTCAGGTATGTAGAAGTTCATGTCAGTTAGAAGCAGTGGCAGGAAATACAATTCTTTCCTCTTTCTGCCAGTCTGACTCTTTCCGACAGTCCAGATTAGCTTTCAGGTATATCAGTATTAACTATATCTTTGTCTGCATAATCTATTCGTAAGTCTTTGCAGATTTTTTTCTCTCTTTTTTCCTCTTAGGTATCCTAGTTATTAAACAAGAAGAAGATGAAGAAGGAGCAAACTGATGACACTTTCTTGTTGGGTATTTAATTATTTAAGTAACTCCAGATAGCTCGGCACATAGAACTTTTATATAAAAGTTTGTTTTGAAGAAAATCTTTGGGCAGTTTTTAAAAGACCAGCTTATCTCCACCATCTGTCACCCAAAGAGTTAGTTACCAAAATTCGGGCACACCAGTTTTGTCAAGCTTATGACACCTTCTGTAGAGACCAGTGGAGCTGAGTTTATCTGCTCTTTGGCTAGCAAGAGATCTTTACCTAAACTAATACATAGCTATTTTTAATCCCCGATTAGTGGTGCTTGTTATTCACTCTTGGGTTATAATAGAACCATTTTAGCTTGTTAGGTGCAGCTGGCCAACATTATCACTGGAAACACTGAGGTCAAAAGAACAATGTTGTGGTTTAGAGATGCGTTACAGGCTTTGTTGTGTTTAATTTTGTCATGGGAATTCCTCAATATGTTAAATATACGAGTTTGCCTTTTCATCCCCTTAACTGTTACGCCAAACAGGCCCAGTAGTTGTGGACCTACGCACAAAAAGGTATTGGTCTGACGATTGCTTGTTACTGGCCTTAAGCTTTGAATTGGGCGTCTCGCATTGGAACTCGACTGCATTGCTTAGAAGGCCACGTATAACTTAGATATTTATTTATTTTAAAGAGGCAATGGGAGTTCTTTGCACGGTTTCAGTGAGACAAATAACTGCTAGCTTGCTTTTTTTTTTTTTTCCGTCTCTTACTAAGGCATTATTTTCAGTCGGAATATGTGGCCTATTAGCCTACAGCTGGTTCCTAGTTTTGGTTTGGGTCACTGGTGGGCATAATCCTTCTCAGCTCTGGAATTTTCCTATAACTAAACAGGCTGATACTAATACAGAGACAAGCAGTGAATGAAAGACCTGCATTAGAGGACAGAAAATTTTGGTTTTGGGGATACTCATTTTTTCTGAAAGCACAGATGTAAGCAGTGAGAGAAAGTGCATGTAGTTGGTGGGGAAGGCGAGATGGGATGGAAAGTGAGCATTGGGGAAAAAAGTATTGAAGACATACTAAATGTGCTATATTGCAGGGTAGCCAGTTTTAGTAAAGCCCCCTTATATGACAGGTAGCTATTTTTAGTGAAAAGCCTTAAATAATGATGAAGACATACCTGACTGCACTACTGGATGCCAATAGTGTGGGGTTTTTTTCTTCTTCTCTTTAGAGAATAGGTCACATCACCTGAGTAGATTTTTCTGCAGCTCGTTTTTGGGTTTGGTTTTTTTTTTAAAAGCTGTTCTTCTAATTCATGGTACCATCTTTGTTTAAATTAAAATGGCAACAAGCGTACCTGCTGGTTCCAGACCAGGCATAGAAGGGATGGAGGCAGAATGCCACTCAGCATTATTTTGTTTGTGAAGGTGTGGCAGGAGTTGAAATCTTGGAAGTCGTGGTCAGAGATAAACATGTAGAATTGGCCCAGACAACAGTGGTGTTGATCTCAACTCCAGGTATAATTGTACTAGAAGATAATTCTCTCTACTCAGATTAATTTCTAGGTGAACAGTGTGAAGTAGAAGATTACAAGACAATCACAGTTTAGTTTCAATATAGTGGTAGTTATTCTATGATTGTTAGAAGAATTCTTGAGCATTCCAACTTGAATTGGCAATTGCTGATAAGGCTTGAGTTTGTTTTAGATTCATTACTTACTTAAAATAAGGTCGAGAGCAATGGCAAAAACTGTGGACATTTGTCACCTAGCATAAACTATTTCCAGGCAGCTGTTCTCTTGACCAGAAAACAGTTTCTTGGTTAACTAGCTCACTGGATTTATCTTACAGACAACTTTATATTTGTACGTAATTTCGTTTAGAATTAGTCTCCTAACTTTATCATTAGTAAAGGCACCATTGACCAAGAAGCATGATGGGAGAGAGGGTATATAGTCACAGCCATTTCATATTGGCTGCTTTTAAAACTAAGGCGTTCAGTTCACTTGCAGCCAACCACTTTCCAGCAAAGCGGATGTGCTTTGGCAGGACGCAGCCGGTGGCACCCTCAGCCCCTACTGACCCCATCTGCTGGGGGGGGGGGGGGGGGAGCAGACGAGGATCGGCTTGTGCCGTTGACGACTGGAATGAAAGTGTGTTTAACACAAGCCAGAGCTTGAGCAGGGCAAAACTGGACTTTGGAATGCTACCAACGAATGGAAATGCCAAATTCATCTATGTGCTTGGAGACATTTTCAGAATAGCCCGTGCAGTGCTCTTGTCATAGTGCCTGGCCACACAGCAAAGTGTTTGAACCTCTGTAGCTCTGAACCTCTCCTAGCGCAACGTCTACAAGTATGGTACGTATGGCTAAGTTAGCACCTCAAATGAAACGTGACAGGAGAGCGAGTGAGCGATGAGCACACAGTCCAGTGCCAAGAAATCCTGCTGGCTGATTTTTTTTTTTTTTAAATTATCTAAATACAGTCTAAGGCTGTACGTTTCTGAAGGTCATGTTAGATACAGCAACTACTCCAGCTACTTTGAGTCATTCTGAGAGCGGAACAGAAACTTAAGCGTTCCGACTATGTGGTGATGACTGGAATGAAACGCAGCTCCATTTTCAAGATGTGAGGGCTAAGGGCAGTTCCTGGCTCTTGTAAGTGACCAATACAGGCTACACCTATGGGAATCAGTCCAAGAACTATTGCAGTTGTTGGCAGAGCTGTGGGTCTTGTGTGGCCCACTGTCATCAGCTCTTTTCACAGATTAACAGCACAAATTATCTCTCTCTTTTTTGGGGGCTGCATTATAAATGCCACTTAAAACGAAAAAAAAAAATTGTTACTGAAGGAATGGGGCATCCAGTCTCAGCACAATTATAACAGCAGTAAGGGACAATGTACAAGATTTCCCTCACCTCTCTCCCTTCATGCTGTGATAAATTAGCATATAATTAAAAACTCTTCTGATAAAAACTGTATGTCAATCTCAATGAAACAAAACTGAGAAAATAATAAACTGTGGCTCTCATTTGTCAGGAGATGCTTCAGCTCAAACCTGGGTGGAAGGTTCAGCTTAATGTTGCTTTGCCTGCTCAATCATGATTACTCGCAAGAACAAATCACCTCCCCCACCCCCAAATTTTCCTCTTCCAAACTAAGTGAAGTTTTCCTAAATTTTAAAATTTGCACTTTAAAATTATGCACTGGATGTGGTGGAAGACATACATAGGAGGTAGAATTAAAGCAGCTGATCTGCATATTGATGGTGCTACACCATGTCACATATAAGCTAGCGGCAAGGCTCAGCCTGTGCGCCTATAGGGAGCAGCCGAGGGAAATGCTGAAAGGCTTGGCCTTCCGTATTGCGCTTTGCTCTTCCCTATCTCGCCACATCCACTAAAGCACATTATTTCATGGATGAAAAGAGCACCCATGTAAAACTTGCAAGCCATGTGGAATTCTGCTTTCCCCAGTGAAATTATGGAGGATTAGCATCCACTTTATTCCTTAGAGAAATATCCGAAAATTAAATTAGTGATAGGAAATACCTAGGTTTTTTACTTGCTTGTTAGCACATTGACCTCTCTTCAAAGAGCTGATGTATGTGGTGATAATATTGAGAACTGCTGGAAAAATGTGAGAAGAGACCTGAGAACCAGCAGATTACTCAGGTTACACTAGAAGTAGACTCATCTAGAAAAATCTTCAAGCAAGAGAGCACTTTTAACATCCCCCTTGGCTATCTTTTGTATCCAGTAATTTTGTAGCATGACCAAACTGTTAAATTTGCTGTGTTTAAATTATTTAGGCCTATGTTTATAAATGTTCTTCTGTGAAACTTGTTTAAAAATAATATAACATTATTTTATACAAAAGTCTTTGGCTGTTGTGTAATGAAATAGTTTGGCTCGTGGACAGCGTTCAGAAATTAAATTTTGTTCTCATTAAACTTTCCTAGCTGCTCAGGGAGCAATGTATTTATAGTATGTAAATGCTGTTCCTTATTGCCTCTATATTTTAGAATAGAAAATAACTTAGACTTTAAAAATGCTGATATATTGTGATTTTTGTCATCTGATACATAAATATTTTTCAATCTTTTAAGACATTGGTTGTCAGACTTTGTTCTTAGGTCCTAAGCAAAAAGACTACTACTGTGTCATGGTTTAGCCCCAGCCAGCAACTAAGCACCACCCAGCCGCTCGCTCACTCCCCCTACCCCGATGGGATGGGGGAGAGAATCGGAGGAGTAAGAGTGAGAAACACTCCTGGGTTGAGATAAGAACAGCTTAATAATTGAAATAAAGTAAAATAGTAATGATAATGATAACAATATAATAATGATAGTAATAATAATATACAAAGCAAGTGATGCACAATGCAATTGCTCACCACCCGCCAAACAATACCCAGACAGTTCCCGAGCAGCGACCGCTGCTCCACGGCCAACCCCCCCCCCAGTTCTATACTTACCAACCCCCCCCCCCAGTCTATATACTGAGCATGACGTCATATGGTATGGAATAGCCCTTTGGTCAGTTTGGATCAACTATTCTGGCTGTGCCCCCTCCCAGTTTCTTGTGCACCTGGCAGAGCAGGGGAAGCTGAAAAGCCCTTGACTAGCATAAGCAGTACTTAGCAACAACTAAAACATCGGTGTGATATCAGCATTCTTCTCATCCTAAATCCAAAACACAGCACTATGCCTGCTACTAGGAAGAAAATTAACTCTATTCCAGCCAAAACCAGGACATACTGCTATATGGGGAGAGAGTCCAAATGAGTTAAATAAACAGCTAATCTTTCTTCAGCACAAAATTACTGACTCACTTTGAATTTAAGTTCTGTTAGCAGCAATATACCATCAATTGCATTAAAGCAGGACAAGAGAAGGTTAACCGATTAATAAACTTCTGTAATAGAAACTTTAGCCTTTAGGAGACAGCGTCACTGAAATGTAATTTCAAAACTCAGATATAAAGAAAAAGCTTTCTACCCCCCGGTCCACAGCAGTCAGTCCCAATAATGACCAGAATAGCACCCTGCAATGACAGCTGTAATGCTATTTAAAAAACATACAGAGAATTACCGGGCAATTCCTCACACTACCTCAAAGCTTACTAATCACTAAAATGCTTTATAAGGTCTCTTTCAGTAGTTGAAGTAACTTCCAGAAGCTTGGGCTTGGATCCACCAATTAAAAAAAGATGAAAACTAAAATGCCCAAAACTTGTGACTTTTTTGATCATCCAAAATTTGTTTGCATGTCTTCACAGTTTTAGTACAAAGTAGCCAGCCTTCAGCACTTTTGCCAGTTGGCTTTGAC